AGTGAGAGGTGGATATCTCGGGGGGGGTCAAGACCCCCCCCCCCTCCCTGAAAACGAATTACTGCTATGTAAGTCAATGGTACTGCATCCAGCCCGCCTTCATTTGCCCGGCCTGGACCCCCCCTCCCCCCTGACATTTTGACAGATCTCCACCCCTGGTCCCCTGCCTAGGTAAATATGGCTTTGCACACGACACTGAGCCCTTATAATTAGCCCGCTACACGGTTCATGGCTGATACCATTCGGCAGAACTTCCACAGCTTTGGTATAACCTGGAGCAGGCCTGTGTGGAGTCGGAGTCGTAGTCGGAGTTGAAGTCGATCGGAGTCGACAATTCTGCCCGGAGTCGGAGTCGGAGTCGGAGTCAGAGCGGCGTTAACGTTGCATACCTCAACGTCATGCACTGCACCTGTTCGATTGACGACACTGTTCGCCTGCATCTTGTCGAAAAAAGGTTATTTTGCTGTTTTGGACGAACGTTTTCAGCGAAAGAAGCAGAAGACGGTGAATTCCCCAGAACATGTTTTTTTAATTCTGCATGTTATTTTTGATGCATATTTGCAACGCAAAGCCTTGGAGTTGGAACGCATAATGGACATAGGCGGCGGAACGGGGAGGGCACCGGGGCACCGTGCCCCCCTTTGATTTTGGCATTTTAACATTAGCCCTATGGGCGTTGCATGGAAAGAATGGGACCAAAAGTCGGCAGTGCCCCCCCCCCCCCCCCTTTAATTGAAGGTGTTCCGCCGCTACTGATAATGGATCGTTTCAGGCAACCTAAAAACATCTCCATTATGAACTTCAATATAGGTATGAATATGATATGGATTTTAATAGTACCGTTCGGAGTCGGAGTTGGAGTTGGAGTCGGAGTCGATTTTTGAAGCAGAAGTCGGAGTCGAAGTCGGAGTCACCCTAAAATCCATCGACTCCGCAGCCCTGCCCTGGAGTGACGGAGTCAACCGAGCATCAATCACCAAGGCGGCAATAAGGCCTAATAAAGGACTCGCCCGGATTTACCTAGAGCCACCTGGCACCTTCTTTCCTCCCCTATCAATTTTACCTCTGAAGGCAATGCGTTTCTGAAGGCAAGGCAATCTTTGGACATTCACGGTTCTGCGGTTCAGGTCGAAGCTATGCCTAAACGTATACAGCAGGTCTTGCAGGGGCGCGGGAACTACTCTTCGACTGGGGGGGCACACCGTAATAGAGATTAACCTAGGGTACCCCCAAATCTAGTTTTCTCACCGGTTTTAGGCCACTTATTTTTCACCCCTCGGCTTTTTCAACAAAAAAAGAAAACATTTGCAAAAAAAGAGTGGTATTCCGTCTCAAAGCTGTGGGGGCACCGCCCCCACGGCCCCAGAGTTGGGGGGGGGCAAGCTGCCCCCACTGCCCCCCCGGCTCCCGCGCCTATGAGGTCTTGAATACCTATAGGAGCCTACCTAACAGCTAACCCTCGTCGGACATTTGGCCCTAGGGTCACAGATGTTCCTGATGACTCCCAGGGCCCAATCTTACCAAATGCCGTGAATGCGCATTCACGGCATTTGGTAACATTCAAACTATTCAACATTCATTTATTCATTCGTTCGGGCAACATTCAGAATCATTCTCGCTATCAAAATCATTGGACAAGATTAGCTGGGTGTAACTAAAAGGGATATCATTGATATCAGTGCCGTAAACTCTGGTCAGTGCTGCCAAATCATATTTACGGCATTGGTAAGATTGGGCCCTTCCGTACCGTACTACTTGCCCTTGGCTGCATCTCGTAACGGTGAGCTCATCAGCTATCCCTTATCGTCATCGAGATCATCAATTGCCGTAGCGAGATGGAAAGACACTACATAATGAACCCCGAATCAGCCGTGTCGACTATGAAGTGCAACACGACCTTGATCGATAAATTTCCTGACCTGGGCGGATTCGGGCCAACCGTCTTGAACGAAGGCCTTACACCCAAATCGATCTTTTCTAACAAAAACATAATTTTGGACGCGGCTGGAAATAGAAAATTCGACGATGCTGCACCAAAATCGTGGTTCTCCGACAATAGGTAGGCCCTATTTGCCAAAGGCGTTTGCTAAAAACCACACTCAATCGTTGACCTAGCCTCAGAGTTAATGGTGATATGTTTCATGGCATACCAACTTAAAGGGACCCTCCCACCTTCAAAAAAGTTAATGAATTGGCACGAAAGTGATGTCGCTCGGTTCAGAAAGAGCGAAAACGAATATCTACCAAATTTCATCGAAAAATATTCACCGGTTTTCAAGATATTAGACTTTTACTTTTGTTTACTTTTTGGGATCTCCGCTGTTCCTAGCGACTTTATTTGAAAGTGCGGCATTTGTTGCGCGCAAAGCATCATATACCACCGCGTGCTACCAAACGTTTTAGTAAAAGATTTAAAAATCGTTAGATCTCCGCTGACGTCACAAATTCTAAGGGGGCATACCAATGCACTAGCCCCTTAGAATCCGAAAACTGCAAGTTTGAAATTCCATATCTCCGAATTAAAGCATTTGTCGATGTTGTGAGTGCCCAAACCGGTATTTGCAGGCCATGGCCACCAATTTGGCTATCTCAACTCAAAACTAATGTTAAGGTGGGAGTGTCCCTTTAACCTTGGTTGTCATTCACTGCATTTATACTTAAAATTAATTTAAGTAGCGACGTATTTGCCTCAGTTAAACACATCGAGTGATATGTTATGTGTGACATTGATCCGAATATAGGTGGCATTATGAAAAAATGCGATATTTACATTGTGTTCCTCCCTTCAGTCTAAACGCGTAGCCACCGATCAGCTATACAGCAGCGCGACGTCTGGGTACGTCTGATAACTGAGTCTCTGCAGTCTCTACCAATTGTCTGATAACAGCATCTGATAAATCGGGGCACCGTGCGCACTTTAAACTACAGCTCCGCATTGAGACGTTTCGCAGCTCGTCGTGATGCAATGTAGTTGTGTAAAATGGATACTAGAAGAATCCATCAAACGTCTGCTGTCTTTTTATCCCAAATCGTTCCACCACGTACTTATGCAGCAAAAGTGCGGATGGCCGATGCTAGCTAGAGAGCTATTGGCAATATGCCCAATACGGCGGCCTTGCCTCTGGCCTTGCCTCTGGCAGGCCGCCGTATTGGGCCCATTTGCGTTTGGTCATTATACGGCTGCAGCCAGCTGATAAGGGGACTGTTCTGCTACCCGCCCGCCGGCCCGGAGCCCGCAGTAGGGCGGCAGACTGGTATACTCGGCAAAATCTGTGCTCCTGACTAGGGATAGTAAGCGTTATTGGACTACAGCAGCCCGATGTGGTGATGATACTCAAGCGTAAAAAATCGTCAGCAATTTGCAGGATGCCATTTCTAAATATAATTTATGAACTTTCGAGGCCATTTAGAACGATTAAAAATAGACATCCTTAACATTAACAAAATAGCATGTAAATTATAAGAAGCCATGAAAAAGAGCAGATCGCACAGAATGATAATTGTGCCTAGTTTTAACCAATGTAAATAACCTAATGTGTTCGCTTATCTGAGATAAACGTTAAATAAGCTAGATGTTGTTGCAATAGTAAATGAAACATATCTATCATATCTCCTAAGAAAACGGTTCATAAAACATGAGTCACACACTGATAAAATATTCCCAAACCTAAGATTTGACCTGACCTGGACCTGATATGTGACCTTTTAAAAGGCATCGAATGTAGTTGAACCATTTTTATACTTTCTGTGGTTATTTTCCTTTAGCCCTCTTGAAGTTAAAAAAAAGGCTGCGTTAAGGCCAATTCCCTTTAAGCAAAGGTGGAAGCCAGCTCAACCAGCCTATGACGTTTCAATAACCCACATGTTTCCATTTAAAATGTTTCCATATTCGTGCCGACCGGGTACCGTCAGGGTCGGGCTGGAGGGCGGCAGGGTCGGGATGGAGGGCGGCAGTGACGTGGGTCGTCCCCCCAGCAGTGACCGCACCGCCCGCTGACGTCCCGGCCGTGCAGGCAGACCATATGGGGACGCCACTCTGCACGCCCAGCTGACCTTGGGTTACATGGCCGGCTGCCAATGTGGCCAGCAGCAGTCGATCGGTTCGAGCAAAACACGATACTGTTTGACAACATATACCACATACATCTTTCAAATATATACATACAGAGACTGACAAAAACACACGGACAGAAGACGGTAAAAATATCAATACAGATAGACAAAACAACGCTGGTCACTGATGAATGAGATAAAGAAGCTAAACATTAACGTCATTTCTCCAAAAAGTGTGGTCTTAAAGGGACCCTCCCACCTTAACATTAGTTTTGAGTTGAGATAGCCAAGTTTGCGGCCAGGCTCAGAAACCACCATTTATCCTGGTCGCAACCCCCGCAGCTTTATGGTGTTCAAGAAATTTCTTCCCTTTACTTGCAGGGTGGGACCAGCGTGGTCCCTATCTCTTAACCATTACGGGAATCTGATGACGTCATCAGGCCCTTTCAAACGTCCGTTAAATGTTTGACTAAAACGTTTTGTAGCACGCGGTGGTATATGCTGCTTTGCGCGCAACAAATGCCGCACTTTCAAATAAAGTCGCTAGGAAAAGCGGAGATCCCAAAAAGTAAACAAAAGTAAAAGTCTAATATCTTGAAAACCGGTGAATATTTTTCGATGAAATTTGGTAGATATTCGTTTTTGCTCTTTCTGAACCGAGCGACATCACTTTCATGCCAATTCATTAACTTTTTTGAAGGTGGGAGGGTCCCTTTAATGAAAATAATTGGGCCTGAGTTGAGTATGTTTTTTTCGCAAATATTCAAGATTTATTAATAAGAACAGGAGGAATTAACCGTTTGTTTTCAGCAACTTCTCGGCGGATTTCCAGCCGCTTCCATCGCTTGTTATGCTACCTTACAGATAGAAGCCCGGCTCTTCCGGTGACCCAAGTTGGCCAACCTCAGAGTCCCCCGCCCCCTCCCTCCATACGCGATCGAACTCACATGGTTCCGTTGGGCGACTGGAGAGGCTGCTGGGACGATGCTGTCGCCGATGATCGTGGTTCGACGACGCCGACGGTGACCCGTGACCCCAGGTCAGTCGCGGCTTGACCTTCTGGCCCGACCCGAGGCTGAAAAGGTAAGAAACGAGTGCTACTGATGGTGCCTGACACGTGACAAGTGCTGATCATACGGTGGCGCTTGTTTACGACATGATGGCAGGCATAACGATAATTCGAGTATGACCCACATACATGTGAGGCATAACAAAGAAGCGGCAGTTGCCAATTAGCGAACGGGAAGGGTAGCCACCGGTAGCTATATAACAATAATGTGAGCATATATAACATTTGCTCAATACCGACATGAAATTACTATTAGCCCGTATGCGTGCAACCAATCACATGTGCTTCATTTGTCTATTAGTGACTGACATATCACATAAGTATTGATATGTAACTAAAGCTCTGCCGTCTGCGCTGCACAGCAGCACGCATACCGTCTAGCTCTAATTCAATGCAACAATCAATGTGCTTTCATTGAGCGTCACATACCGGACATAACAAATGAATAGGGTGGACATTAACGCAGGTGACTGCTTGGTGGTAGAAGATAATAATTATTTCATCTAATTAACAGCCTATAACAATGGTAATCGATGAATAACGCTATTTACAATACGGAAGTGCTAATTAGTTCACCATTCCCCCGGTAGATGGCAGCACGGACGGCGCCTGAAAATAGACTGTACCGCATAGCATTAAAAATAGACTAACGCGTGGCATTGTAGGTACGAGACTGAGTGATGACAACTTGTTTGTTGATTGGGGCTTTAGGGCGCGCCGACTGCTAAGGTCATTTTGCGCCCAAGTGATGACAACTGAGATCACTGCAATTGATATCGCGGCTGAGAATAACGGGTTGCATACTCACGCATTCTACCCCCGTTCTTCCCACCTTCGACCGTTCCTGCGCCAACTCCATACACTGGAATGCGCTAATGTATCGACCTTCCTAAGCAGCCCTGACACGCACACACTGCCAGAGCCGGGACTGCGCAGTGGCTGACACACACCTGGGAGCTAAACACGTCACGTAGCACACCTGGGAGTGCTGATCACCTCACGTGACACACCTGCGTGATGTCGACACCGTCACGGCCGCAACGACACGGCGTCACACGGCGTCACAGCCCGAAAAAAACGTCCACCGGGCACCGCCTGTCTGTATCGACTGACGACTCCGCCGGCACCGCCTCCGCGCTCCACGTGCATGCACGAATACAGGTCAAGTACCGGGCGGGTCGATTCGCAGATGGCCGTCGGCGGCTCGACTTTGGGCCAGGCGCCGCCTGGCGGAGGCGACGAATCGACATGGCCGACTTTGCCAGGCGCGCCGCCGCCGGCGTGCGCGTGAGAGGAGAGAGGGTGAGAGCTGCGGGGTGAGAGGGTTAGAGCGACCAGCTGTGTACTGTGCGCAATTCCCTCCCATGGGTGCACTGACATCGGCAGAGGTCCGTGGGCAGACAGCATGAGCTGACTACATTGCTGGGGCGGTGCTTTGGTGACCGGTCCCACTCCGCATACCGGCGCAAGACGGCCGAACGGTGACGGCTGCGTTTGTCAGGAGTCGGTCGGCGGCGCCGCCTAGTCTGACCCGCGGTGGTGAATGGTGCCGTGCAAATGATCCGCTGTGGAAGGCCAGGCGCCCTCCGGCTCGCGAAATGACTGACGCTAATACAGCAGATGTCTGAGACACGCACGTTGCTAGAGCAATGCCACACACGTTGCAAGCGATCGGAGGTCAGTCCAAGCCGCGCGTTCCGCACATTCAACCGCAAGACTCAGAGGCGAGATGCGCTTTCTAAAAACGCCGTGTAGACGTAGTGACCGTCGGTCATGGGTCGGTCCGCTTAGCCGGCTACCATCTGCCGTGTGCAGTCGTTGCCCAATGCCCCGGAACGTCCAGTGCTCCAGAAGTCAGAACGCCCACTGTCCCGGAACGTTTAATGTCTCGGAACAACCGGTAGACGGATGTGGCCGGAGCAGTGGTCACAGAACGACAGCGACCTGGCCCAGATTCGGTCAGTCGGCTCGTATTGCTTGAGAACGGCAACGCGAGCCGACCACTCCACCCCATACCACCTCGCACGATGGCAATGACAATGAGTGACAGGGACAGCCAGGCCAAGGAAATGTCAGCGGTGAGCGGCTAGCTGGGTCTCGACGCCAGGGAGGAGATCTGCGAGACGGATGATCCGCAACATACCTGTGACTGAACGGTGGACGTGAGTGCCCAACTAAATATTTGGAGAGGTAAGGCAGGTGCCCGTGTAAAATTGCAGTCTCGACCACGAGCCAGGGGAATAGCACCAACTGATGTTTGAAGAAGCCAGGTCAAAACGGGTCGTTTCAGTTCAGCCAAGCTGCTCTCCGATGGCGAGCTGTGCCAGCACAACGTGGCGGTCAGGACTCAGGAGGCGCTCCTGGTTCATGGTGCGCGAAACCTAGCGACAGATGATGGGACAGAGGGGGAAACAAGCAGAGTGGATAGGAGGCTGGTTAGGTTGAGGCTGGAGGAGGAAGCGCGTGGTTAGGTGCGGGATGAAGCCACAAAATACGGCGTCACACTCACGAGCCGTTCCAATGGCATGATGGACGGCACCAATGTGTGTACACATCATTCGGCATTGACTTCCAGTACTTCCTCCTCGTCAACGCATACTATTTTGTTTGCATTTCCGGGATTAGGTCTGGTCTTATCTATAACAGTCGACAGTCGCACATGTCACTCAGTGGACAGCTCCAGCTGGCTACCGTAGGTATTGCTCAACGGAAGGGCGGAGCTGGTAATGTGAAACGGACGATCCCTGAAACTGATATTGTTTCACCAGCCGAAGTCCACTGTAAATGAAACCCATCTGTCAGTCCTGCAACCGCGGCCAACCTGATCGGATTTCGGACCGGTCAGATCGCGTCTCAAGTCTGTTCGAGCGGCAGCTGTCGGTGCGGCTGACTGCCTCGCACCGTTCACCGCCCTCCGCCCTAGTCCATCTGCACCTGTCGGGTCGTTCAGCGCCATCCCAGCCCTCCCTCTGAGGTGATGAGCGACGGACGACTGCGCCGGGGCCGGAAGTGACCGCCTGGTGGCGCCGTTCCGCCCGACCGACGTGACGACGGAGTGGAGTAGGCTGCTCCGCCGGCCGGCCGGCCGGCAGCGGTGCTGGATGAGAGAGCGACAGGGTGGCCAGACGACATAATCCGTCATCGGGCGGAGCGGGTTCGACATAACCTGTCGGCTGTCCTGTCATTGGATACGGCGGATCTGACACAGGCTGTCATTGGACGGAGTTGATTTGACACAAACCGTCATCGAAGGCCGAACGAACCGATTGCGACACAGCCGTGTAATTCAACAATGGACATGAGCAGTCCGGCAATGGATGCAGTTTGACAAAACCAGCACTAGCCCGGCCCTCAGCAAAACTTGGCATGCACTATGCAGTATGCATGGTAGTTTCTTCATTTCTTCAGTTTTCAAACCGCTTTTCTTATGCTTTGTGGCGCCACGTGTGGAGGCGGGATGTGTGAGTGGCCCGGTTATATAGGGATCACATTTCACAACTAAGCTTCGAAAGCAAAGCCGCACAAAGAAAGACTTCGTAGCAATGCTAGCATTATTCTTCGACGCCGCTATGAAATATGACGGGTATCGTTAAACACGCTGTATCACACAAGCTACAGTGGCGTTACGGTTAAAATAATTGCTTGAGAAGAAGATGTCATGGGGTTAGGGGTTGTGAGACCATGGGTTAATGACTCTCGATGTCAGAGTCGCGTTAGGATCGGAGGGAAGAAACGGGGAGCCTGACGAAGGGCAGAGTAGTCTCCAAGCTTGGTAAGATGGTGAGGACTGAGGAGCGTTCCGGGAGGGCCCGGAAGACGGTAAGTTGGGACAATAAAAGAGCATGGTAACATATGCGGCGGAACGAGGGTGGCACCGGGGCACCGTGCCCCCCTTTGATTTTGGCATTTTACATTAGTTCTATGGGCATTGCATGAAAAGAATGGAACCAAAAGTCGGCAGTGCCCCCTCCCCTCCCCCTTAATTGAAGGTGTTCCGCCGCCACTGCATGGTAAGATGGAAAAGATGTTCGGTCACGGGGCACGGTAGGACCATAACGAGCGTCCCGAGATAAGCCGTAAGGTCGCGGCCCGCGGGTGACCGGCGCCGTGACCGGCGACGCCCTGTAGCCAGCACCCAACATCTGTCAGCCACTAGCGGACAGTGCGCAGGGCAATAGCGCAGTTCCTCAGGCTGTGGCCGAGCCGTGACGGCTGGTGGACCACTACCGCATCCAGTTCGGTGATTAACGAGACTTACAGACGACAGCTGCGCCCGCTGAACGAGAATCCGAGGGCAAAGACACTGTCGCATACCACAGAAGTCCCGCGGACCCGGTTCGGCCACTGATCGGTATCAGGAAATAACGCATGTCAGGCGCGCTGCTGTGCGCCATTTTTATTTTGTACGGTCACCATATCACCGCAAGTCGGGCGCATGTCAGGCGCGCAGCTGTGCGCCATTTTATTTTGTATGGTCGGTGAAGCTTCCATGGCAATATGAAGGACGCCGATTCTGAAAACCTGCGAGCATTTACGATATGCGATTTACATGCGTGTTTCGTAAGGCGCACATAGCCACGATCAATGGATTCATGCCATCCATGCTCAAAATGACAAAACATTGCCGATAGATTGGTAAGTTACAAGAAGATGTTAAAAAGCAAAGCGCATTTAACATTTTTGAACAGCAAGTTGTTTAATATCCCCAATTTATAATCGTGCTATTAAAATACAGTTATTATTACATAATTAAACATAAGGCTGTGACAGTCGTGAGAGAAGATTAATGACTTCGATCCTTCTTACCGGAATATGAGTTTTCTTGTTTGGAGCAAATTTATAAGCACTTAATTGGAATGTCGTTCCCTTCTGAAGACATGTTTTGTATCTCTAGTATATTAATTAGCTTTGAAGTAATTATCAACCACTGCACACTTAAATACACCTGAGAAGGACTTATAGGACTGGCCATCGAGACGTCAGTCGTGGCCACTGCAATTTGCAGCGGCCGGCGGCGGCCGTCAGCCAAGGTAACCGGTTCCCTCAGCGGGCTGCACGAGCGCCTCATATGGGCCGGGAGCCGGTCTTAAATGTAGGGTTCGGGGCGGGCCGGGCTGTGATGTCAGACCACAGAATTGCACCGCCCAGCTGACACTGGCACAGTAACAGTAGCGCTGCGAACAGCTGGGCGGAATGACGACAGAGCGTGACACACGTAACAGAGCGTGGGCACAGAGACACGACTGATACAAACGGCGACATTGGATGAGTGTTATGGCGTAGTCGATGGAATACCGATTTTATCAATGCTCTGTCATCGTCAATGGGTATGTTTATAATGTCAACATTGTAATGTGTCCTGGTGTTACAAAGCCCAGTTTACCAGGTCAGCCACCATCCAAGGTTTCAGTGGAGTAACTATTCAAATGCAGGTGTAACGGTGTTTAAAGAGTAGCGCTCGGTTCAGCGTTGTCCTTCCGGTGACACTGTCCCTGTTAACATCGACACACTGCAGCGTCGCCCCGTTGTGTCGGCCTAGCCCGGTTCAGAGACCTAGTTCTGCGCCCACCGACAGCACTACGACGGCAGCCGTCTCTCTGCGAATGGCGGAGCTGTGGGAGGGCTGCCGCAGCTCCACCCGTCTAGCTGTCCTCCCACCATACCGGACAGCTTTTGGTAACCACCCTGTCCAGATACCTACGGCGAGCGAACTCTATCGTACGCCCGACCAGCTGCCTAGACATTGCAGCGGGGCCAGGGCCAAACTTGTTGTGTCGAGACATGGCAGCCTGACCCGTGCCGTTTGTAAACTTACCACTGCTGGGTTTGTTGGTGGCCAACCATACACGGAAGGCTACGAGTTAGTTCGTGGCTAGACATTCGCGGAAGCCTTCTTCTGGGATGCTCGCCAAAACAGTGGGCGGCACTCCTCGGTGAGCTCACTGACAGAACCATTTCACCCGATGTCTGGTGCTACCACTGACTGGATCAATTGCTCTGTATCCTGTCGATTCCCTCCTAGCTCGGCTAGTTTAGCAGAGGCCCACTGCGCCTGCAGCAGCCGGCGGGCACAGCGTGGCCCTGTCGGTCGACCCCGGCGGCTCCTCGCCACCAAAGGTCGGCCTCGCCTGACCGAGTGCGGCCGGCCGATGGACCGATAGGCGCTGGCGCACGGCCGCCTCCCACGCTGGCCAGTTCGCCCGACTCGCACCGGCACGGACAGCGACGAACCGATTTGGCGAGCTGCACGTCAGCTTCTGGAAGAGCACACCCTGTTCGGGGAGAGTGAACATCCGACTGGACTGGACGCTTGCCAACAGCCACTGTCCCTCGACGGAGGCTGTCCCAGCAGCCGGCTTCTTGGAAAGCCCAGCTTTCAGGGGTGGAAAAGCTTCTCCGAGGGCGGGATTTGTCATCGACAGCTGTGAAATTCTGCAGTCATCACCGTCATCAGTCGCACCCCGATGACGGCAGCGGTAGTTGGGTAAGACCGGTACGGTACTGTTGCCAATACTGTGCCGCCCGTGCCCCCAGGAGTGGGCGGGATAGCCCTGGCCTGCTGCGGACAGTTACTATCGCTGCCGGGCCTGCACCCGCCCATTGACTCGTCATTGTGCATTTCTATGCGCCGTAAGTATCAATATCCTTTCAATTCCTCTGCCTCTAACTGACAATCGGGGTCACTGTGTGGTCACTTGGTCACAGGATGCTGGTCTCTCATTGAGCTAATCCGATGCCAACTATCAAGGCCAAGGACAGACCCTACACTGTCGTAGACATGAGAATTGGGCAACGAAATGGAATCACCTCGTTCTGACGCGGCCTGGAGCCTGGAGGGGTTACGGCGGTGAACTGGGCGGGCTGTTACGGTCACTAGAACGGTACTAAATACAACTTAGCTGCCGGCGCTGGCGGGAGCCGGGAGCCACGAACGGTACCAAACGCAGTAGCGGGCGGCGCGCCGTTCCCACCATCACAGGTGAAGAGCCAACGCGAACACGGAGCACTGGTGAAACAAGCTCAGCACAAAAACGACCACGACAAGGCAAGGATACGAGGGAGGGGCAGAAACAAATCAGCATCAGTCCGGCAAAAAGCGGGGAGATCCGCCGGACGAGAAGGGCGTCCCTCCAGTCAGGCGAGGGCGTATAGGTGGGCGTAGTGGTGACAGCATGCGGTCTGGGTGTCGGCGGGTCGGGCCCAGTCGGCCCACTGACACCGTCTGCGAGGTGCTGTGTGGGCGGCTGACAGTGTCGCAGCCTCGTGACCCTCTAAAGGTCTAGGCTCGCAGTAATGAGTGAGGAAAAAGCGTGGATGCCTGTCGAATACTAAACGTAAGTCGGCACAGTCATCTTTTGCTCACTGCAGCGTGCTCAATTGCTTATTCTGAAAAGAAGGGTCCGTTCAAAAGATACGCACCTATTCATAGCCCAGCCAAAATAAAGACAGCTAAAAATAAAAGTTGGGCAAGTTCTTGTCATTTTTGTGAATGCGAAACGAAGGACGAATTTTGTACAGCTCGACATCCAACCACACGACGCTGGCACGGTAACCTTAGACACATTCCTGCATTCCCAAAATGCCAGCCTGGATCCGTAATTATGGGGTTACTCTGTCCGAGGAATTAGGTCGGCGCCGCGCCGCGGGGCTCTCCCTCCTCCCGGCTGGGCACGCAGGAGCTCGGCCCTCGGCCCCACCGTGTAACCCACCTGGTATCGATCTGCCGCTGCACTCCACACACCTGCACCCGTCGCCTGACGGCACGAGCAGACACGAGGCACCGACCAGCACACGGCACTCAGCGGCGAGCCTTTGACCGCCCCGACGACATACCACCGTTCACCACCAGACCCGGCCAGTCACAGCGGGAGCGGTGGAGGCGGCGGCCGCGGCCCTCCCCGAGCCACCGAGCTTTTAGTTCGGACCGCTGCCGCCGCGGCAGCACCGTCGCAGCGTGGGACGGTGAGACCCGGGCGGACAATTGCCTTCAATGAAGTCGCCACGGGGAGGGACCAGGCCGGTCACCTATCGATTAAACGCACGACAGTGGTGCCCAGCGAGCATGGTCGATGTAGTTGTTCCACATGCACAGAGGAAGTTTAAATGGAGAAGTCATCCTGGCAACGCGAAAGGAGCCATCAGTGTTTTACGAACGTTACATGTTCAAAAGTACGCATAGGTATAAATTACTTTAGCGCTTAGGTAAATATTTTGTAGGTCAGGGTGAGAAGCAGGTCACTTCAAAATTAGTAAAAAGTAAAGTTCCCTAACTTGACATTTTTGCGATAGATGGGGTAGCTCATTCATCATTGACAGAGGAGCAACAACGACGACGACCTATAAATAAGGATTTGTGCGGTTTTAACCGAGGCAATCGACCTCTCCGGCTCATTGAAGGCGAATATATCACGATATCTACAGGCAGATCGCTATGCCACGGGGACAGGGGCCGTCAGGGGTCGTCCCTCCAGTTCCCGGTGCCCCTTAGTGAAACTGGAAACAGCAGCACTCACCTGCGCGCCAGTGCCGGCCGGTGTCCGTCCCTGTCCGGTGTGAGACGCCGGCGACGATCGGTCGCCCCCGCTCCCCGCCGTCACCTGTCCTCGACGCATCAGATCGAGCATCGAGTCGGTGCCCGCGCCCAGCTCCTCGCGAGAGCTCTGGCGACTTTTCACTAACGACACCTTCTGCGCCGAGCCAAACGTCTCTCGCTCCTGCGAACCGACGCTGGTTCTGTCACCGTCCACGTCCTGAAACTCTACCACGATCCAGGGTCGGCGCGCCACCCCCCGTGAGCTCAGACTGGCGCGCAGCAGGCGCGGCTGTAGCCGCTTCAGGAAACTAGAGATCGTCCTGCGGGGCTTCTCCGGGGGCGGCTCGTCCGTCCGGTGCATGTTTGGCATTGTGCTAGACTTTCCCCATAGACCGCGGGGGCTGCCGGGCACGCTCTGCGAGCCTCCACCAAGTCCGAGCGGCACCAGATCCCCACTGCCATCTATCGTGTATTTCTGGAAGTACTCCTGACTCTTGGCGGCTCGCAGGTCGGGCGGCGCTGGCGGCGGCGCTCCACCGGCCAGATGTTCCTCGGAGCGGGTGGTCTCGCGCCAGACCAGCGGCGACGAGCGGCGTCCCTCGCCGGCCAGGGGCTGTCGACGCACCTGCAGCATGTTCTCACAGGATTTGGTGGTCGTGACCGGCCGCGTGTCGTCCCGGGTCACATTCTCCAGCGACTTGACGGCGGGGCGGGGTCGGAACCGACCCCAGCCGGACGGCCGCGCCGGGTCGGCGAGATGGGCACACGGGCGGCGCCGCTTCACGCACTTTGGGCAGCGCGGCTCTGCAGGCGCGGCAGTCTGCGGCGGACCGCGACCTGCCAGACCGGCGTAGCTCTCCATACGGCGGTGACTGTACCGGACACACAGCTGCACGAAATTAATCGGCGGAAACGCGCGGAACTCAGACGACGATAGACGGACTAGCTCGATCTTAGGCTGGCTCATGCCGTTCGGCCGGGGACGCCATGGCGGTCGGAGCACGGACGAGCACCGGTGTCGGGGTGGGCGGGAGACAGGACGACCGTCGGTGATGGTAGGCGCCGGACCCAGTCACCTCTGAAACACAAACACATCGGCTCGTCTCAACACGGGAGCATATGGGACGGAGGCGCTGGCTAAATATAGCGGATAGCCCCGCAGATGGGGATTGACCTGCTACCGATAGCCTCAGTGTAAGTAAAGTCATAGGTAGAACGTACCCATACAAAGCAGTAATGCGGACATTGAATGAATGGTCAATGTCTATACAATCGAGTCTACAGTCTAGACTTTACAGTTTACACTCACTATCATTTATATTTTATATCACGATACAACCCCAACATTTTTATTGACTTTCAATTCACACAACTCCTCTTCAACAAACAACTCATGATATCATCTGTGGTGTCATCTGTTGTACGTACTTCTGCTCGTCCCGTTACCTTGCAGTTGCAGCTAATAAAAGAGAAAAATCAGATGGGCGAACCGCACGGCTTCTGACCGAGATATATCGGTACCGTTGGCCGTTGCACACCGTACCGGCTCAGACACAACAGATGCCGTAGATGTCATGCAGTGGCTGAGAAATAGGCTAGCTCGTTAGAGCGTGGCCGAAGGTGCAAATCACTTGTCGCTGTGGCATTCCTACCAATAAGATAGCTGATCCACCTTTGGTAGAAAATCATTTCATGACTTTATTTGCCATGACGCTGATCTGAAGTTCAATAAACCGTCTTTCGCGCGTGACACGACTTTCAAGCGGCATGACACGACTTTTCAATGCTGATGGACTCGTTCAGTGTCTAGCTTGCATCCGTTGACTGTCTGGTATTGTTAGAGCGCTCGAACTACTGTGAAAGAGAAGATTATTATATGTTACGCCATCCGCACCTCACGACAGTGGCGAATTCACACGGGGTGCCTGCACATACAGCGCGGCTTACCCGCGGCTCACCCAGCTCACAGCTGGCTATAAGGCTATAAGCGTCATTATATCTTGCTCGACTATAGGTACAATCGCCATTCCTTCATGTCAGGCACCCGAACACACTGACTTGACACTTTATCGTCCTGGCTTATGCGTAACGTTCATTCACCATGCAGGTTTCAGTTCCGCCACTTTCCGTCCTGCAGGCTTAGCCAACTGATCGCAGTTGTCTGTTTAAACCGGGAATCACCCTGTGAAACAGTAGCATAAGAGCCTCGTATCAGCCGGAAACGGTGCAAGTTGTCGGCTATCGTACCGGCGGTCCACTTTCCCCAACATTCACCATCCGGCGCTCCGAGTTTGCATGCGTAACCTGGCCAAGGGTCGACACCAAGGCGCTACAGGATGCTGGAAAGGATAATGTTAACTGAATGGTAGGTATAGTTTCAGCATCAGTGGTCTTTTCATTTCATTCGTGGCCTTGGCCACCGAAGACTTATAAGAAAAAGGCGACTGGTCTGCTATTACCGTCTAGACTAGTGTGTACTTCTGTGTACCACGAGCGTCTCCAGCGAGCTGTTGAGTCAGGAATAAGGATTTCCCAGTGGGACGGACAGGCTCGATGTCGGGCGGGGTCGGCTGCACGGCAAGACAGCCCCATCAATCACCATACATCCCCCGGCTGCACCAACCCTCCCACAGGGACACTGGCTTCCGGCAGCGCCGGCCGACCGGCGGCGTTATCGATTGCACCACCGCGACCGCCATGGACTGCAGGGGACGGCTTCACTGAAAACGGGCGGCCGCCGAGCGACCGACGGAGACATCAAAGATGATGGGCATGGCACCGGGACCCAGACCCGCTCATCGGCACTCATGCGAGACTGCGTGGCTTGCCAGATATAACTGTAAGGGTTTGTGTCAGTAAGGGCGACTGGGGATGGGTTATGGGTAAGGGTTACGACTGATCGAGCCCTGCCGTGTCACCAGCTGACCTGGTGGCTGACCGGTCAGCTGACGATAGTCGGGGGGGGGGGGGGGGACTGCCCAGACAGGCTGGGAAGTGGGGAACGCCCGGAGGCAGCAGACTGACTTTGATCTCCACGGGGCGGCCTGTGATGCCCGGAAGTGTCGGGGTGTTGTGACAGCGTTGAGACCAGCTTGGATACACACTGAACTGACAAGTTAACTGAGTTTACATAATTAGTCATCGGGGTTCGATATCGGGAACATTCCTGGAAGGCGTTCATCTGGGTGTCAGTGACTTTCCGCGAAAACCGATCTGGTGTTTGTAAGGCTTCAGCCCTTTTGTGGCAGCACGAGGCCCTAGTAATGTGTCATCGGACACCGTATTGTGCCTTTTGAGCTGCGCTCTTCGCCAGCCCGTCACGGTCTACGGATGGGTGCTCTGTTGTATGGCATCCTGTCGCGGCCTTCGGTGTAGGTATATTCAGCTTCTCGTGGACGTATTTGTATTTGTATTTATTCAACAGACCGTCAACAGGCACTTGACCCACTAAAAGACGGAGTCACAAGACTAAAAACAATAAATATGGTACACACAGGCAGCATACACACGCCGGGATAAAAACGCAGATACACATGTAACTAAAATAGAAAACAATGAACAATATAATGAAATAGGCAATGAAGTGAAAATATGAAGAAAAAAATGTGTGAACGACCACTGAGCATAAGTTTTAAAATCCCATGTAAGGTGGGAAAGAAATCATGATACAAGGTAAACCAGAATAGCTGAACAAACAGTAAATATGAACACAGAGATAAACGATGTATAGGTACTTTAAAAACACGTAAAAAAGTATAAAGTGAAATGAAAAATATAAGAAAACATTAAAAATAGACATATTTAAAATCATAAAAATATAAAATCAATCAGAATCACCTACCAACAGTGACTAGTAGCCCGGAGGTGGTGGTAAGTTCGCAACGTATTTGATAACATGAGCTTTGTACACAAAAAAGCTGGTCGTGAAAAAGTCGTCTTTGGAATGAGCGAGGAATGAGTTTGTCTCTCTCGCGACACGACAGACCAACCCGTTCTGGACCGTGCTGATTCGGGCGCGACTCTCAGCAAACAGTGCTGCAGTGCGCGTCGGTCGGATAGGCACGCGTAAGGGGAATCGGGATAAGAGTATCTCAGAGTTCAGTTTCTCGGAGAACAGACCCTTTAGGAACACGAGGTCGTGTTGGGCTCTTCGAGAGGAAAGGAACGGGACACGGAAATGCTTGGATAAATCTGGATAGGTAAGTGATGGGCAAGGATTGTTGGAGTGGTGGTTTAACCAGAGGAGAAACTTGTGCTGAATCCGATCGACGCGAACTGTGTGGGAAGTGGCTGCGCCTGCCCAAATGACCGTTCCGAACTCAAGGACAGAACGTACGTTTGCGAAGTACGCAGCCAACAGAGATTTCGTATTGAATTTGGCTTTTTTAGATCCGGTTTGAAATGAGCGAATGAGAAGCCCGAGGGACCGGTTGGCTCGGGCAGCGATATGGTTTACCTATATGGTCCGAAAAGGTCAATTTTGAGTCCATCCAGAGGACGTGCCATATGCTACACTTCTATCACTTCCCATCACTTGGAGATGGGTTAACGGAATGGCACTGTCCAGTGCCGCTAGCATCAAATCAAGCGAAGCACAAATTGCCATCAATGCAGGCGGAGACAACTCAGACGTGGCACACAAACTGTCGTCGTGAGGCGGCTGTCGTGATGTGAGGACTCCGTGACTCACGGAGAGAAGCTGCGTGACGCGGCCGCCACGCACCACGCACTGCCCGTGGAAGCGTGGTACGTTGGTGGGTACTCTGGCCGCCGGTGGGAGGGGATACGTTGGTAAGACGTTCCTGGGGTCTTCCGCTCTACCCCGGCGACCCGGAAAGTGCTGCCGTGTGCCAGAGGCTGACGGCTGTTGTTGGGGAGGAGGAAGGAGGGGGAGGGGGGGGCGCCGCCGTGAGATTAGCGCAAAGTTCCGGCGGCCAGTCTTGGACAGACGACCGGCTGGCGGCGGACTGACGACTCGGTCAGTGTCGCCGAGGTGTGAAGGTCGAATCAGTGCAGTGTGAAATAATAGGAAGTGAGGTCGGAACCAGTGAGGTGGCAGGTTACGGTGGTCGGGACCAGTAAACGGTCACGGCGTGGGTGGTCAATAACAGTGGTGTGTTTGGGTATGAGGTGGGAACTGAAGGGACTTCTAGGCACTGAAGGGGCGGCTATGGGGTGAGGGGAGGGGCGCAATCAATAAAGGGACGGGATATGAGGACTGGAACGGGTGAGGAGACGGGGCAGGAAATGATCTCCGGGATGTGGAAGACTCAGCTACAGAGAGAGCACTCCGTGACCCTCCAGAACTCACTCCACTAACCTGCTCACACCCTCCACCAGCCGAGCACCGTGCACGCCCCCTTCCGTCAGCAACCGGTCTATCAGCACCACACCGCTCACCACGACACGACCAGCGCCGACGAGGCCGTCCGACTGGCGACCGGCCGTGCCGAACCGCCGCGCCGGCCGCGAACGGACGGAGACGAGCGGAAAACACCCGCCCCAGCACGGCGGCACGGCGCGTGCGGCCGCCCGCCGACGCATTGACCTGGGCGGGGCGCCTGCGCGCCGGGTGGCCCCGATGCCAGGGCGGCAAGCTGTCCTCGCGGGTGCCCCCTGCCGCCAGTCGGGACGGCGGCTGACCCGAGTCTCGACCCGCGTGGGTCTCATCTATGCGGGAAGGTGGTGTATGAGCGGGAGTCTGGCACGAGCGTGGACTGTGGGCGGGATAGTGTCCAGCGTACGATGTAGTAACTAGTAACACACCCATCGTACCGCGCCGTCAGGGAACAGAAATGGACAGCATTGTCAACTGTCAAAAGGCGGACCGGCGGGACAACACTGGTCGTGTATAGCAGCACGGTGTATAGTTACGTCTGTGTAGAGTTACTTCACTCTGTCACTCTGAATGAGAGGGGAGACGAGGAGAGAGGGAAGGGGAGGGAGAGAAAGAGGAGGAGAGAGGGAGCTCCGCAACTTCCCGCCGAGACACGCCCTTTCCTCTGTTTTCAGTATTTAATATGCTACCGGAACTCGAAACATACAATACACACCTCGAAAATAACCTTCAGGCGTGCGTGCAAACTGCAAAGCCTCGTCAGTAAATAGGCAATTTAGCTTCTGCAGCGCGCTGGGCGCTGGCAATCTTTGTTTTTTTAATCTAACGTTTACCTTGCTTTCGAGGATAAAGATTAAAGCAATTTGAATCGGGGACTAATTCCGGTGAATGAGTCAACAGACGTACACACCGTTGTATTACTGGCACGGTGAGGCTCCAGCTCAGACCGTGTTGGAGAGCCCAGAGCAGAGCCGAGCGGCGTTCTGCACATTCCTCTCTTCCTTCCCTCCTCCTCTCCCGTCCCGACCCGGCGCCGCCGCCCCGGGGTAGCGCGACTTGTTCTTGGCACCTGCCCCGAGACGCGCTCCGCACCCCGCGGCGGCGCCACTGACGTCATCGGTCACGGCACCGCCCGGCTGCTGTCAATCAGCCGACAGACGGCCCTCCGAGCAGCCGATCACTCAGTCCAATAACCTGAGGCTGAGCTGAACTCGGCCTGCAGCCCGGGCAGCCGCAGCTGGGCTGTCAGTACTCGTACAGAGCGGCCCCTGCACATCGAGCCGCCGACTGAATGAGGTCTCGACAACCCGGCTGCTGTGCCATGTTTATTTACATTACCTCCTGAGCGAGTGTCACAACGCGCCGACCTGACGACTCGGAGAGTGGCGCACTCTGTCCTCCAAGGTCACTGTACCCATACCCAGCGGCCTCCAACGAAATGTCGTCCGTCTAGACGTCCATCCGTCAGTGACAGGACTGGCTGGCTGGTGACACATACAGGATGGTGACGCTGTCTGCCCCCCTGCCCCTCGCCCGTCCCTCCCCCAGCCGCAGAAGTGACACAGACTGACGTCCCGGTCTAAAAGTGTCAATATTGTGACTAAGCGAAATGTCGTTGGCCTCGACGCCAAAAAGTCCGACTTCCTCAAAAGCTCGACAAAGTCCTACTTGAAGACAATAAATATCTTACGTAAAATATAGTTCGGTCCAGACATCATTTCAAAGCCGAATTCACGTGTCGCCAATGACATCGTAGTTGCCGCGCCCGCAAGCCCCTTCGCCAAATTTCTGTGCGGCTCCCAGCCCGGATTATAAATGGGGGGAGGGGTTCAGTTGAACCCGCGCCACCCAGCTCAGGCCGAGCTCGAGAGAGGTCTGCCCTGTGCTCCGCACTCCGCAGTTCGCACCCCGCAGTCCGCAGCCTCCCCCTTCCAGAGTCCGTTCGCCACCCTCCCAGCCCACCGCACCAGTCCGCATCCCACCCTCCAAGTGGTCCAAGTGGCCAGCGCCCATCCCATCCCACCCTCACATCCCTCCCAGTCCGCATCCCCCGCCCCACAGTCCGCATCCCACTGCCTCACAGTCCGCATCCTATCCTCTCACCCCACCCCCACGTCCGCACTTCACCCCCTCAGCCCCGCCCCACAGTCCATAACCCACCCTCCCATCCCACCGCCCCACAGTCCGCATCCCACCCTCCCATCCCACCGCCCAACAGTCCGCAGTCCCCCCTCCCACCGTCCCACCCTCCCAGCCCACCACCGCCCCACAGTCCGCATCCCATCCTCTCACCCCACCCCCACCCCCACGTCCGCACTTCACCCTCCCATCCCACCGCCCCACAGTCCGCATCCCACCCTCCCATCCCACCGCCCAACAGTCCGCAGTCCCCCCTCCCACCGTCTCACCGTCCCATCCCACCACCGCCCCGCGGCGGCGGCTGCTCTCTCAGCTGATCTCAGCCGGCGAGCTGGGAGCTGTATTGATCGTCACCGGCATCGGATACAGCGCGGGCCGAGCCGAGGCGGATCGGGCCGGACCCAGAGCCGCGGATACAGCGCGGGCCGAGCAGAGCCGGATCGGGCCGGACCCAGAGCCGGGCGGATAGGACGGACTTACAGCGCGGACCGAGCCGGATCGGGCCGGACCCAGAGCCGGGGATACAGCGCGGGCCGAGCCGAGGCGGATCGGGCCGGACCCAGAGCCGCGGATAGGACGGACTTCCGTACAGCGCGGACCGAGCCGGATGAGGCCGGACTTCGAGCCGGGCTGGGTCAAATCTACAGCCGGGGATGGGCTGGATCTACAGGGACAGGGGTGGATCGGATCCACAGCGACGAATTGATGACCTACAGGAACGGATGGATCGGGACGGACCTACTGGGCTGGGAGGAATGCGCCCGGACGGATCTACAGGGACGATTGGGTGACATCGGACCTACAGAGCCAGCAGGAATGGACCTACAGGGCTGGCAGGAATGGATCTATAGGGATGGCTGGATCACGCCTACAGGGACGGCAAGAATGGGCCCACAGCGATGATGGAGTAGGGCTGGGAGCCTACAGGGCGACGCCGCCACTCAGAAATGGATGAGCCGGACCAGGTTGAGAATGCCTATTGGAAACTAATAGCACCCTGCACACATGTGAAGCCTTCGGTGGGCTATCTCATAACGGCGCATGGCACACAGATCAGCTGTATCGCCCGTTCGCATTACGAGCCAACCGTGCCTGCCTCATACCTACTGCTATCGGGTGGGCAGCATATGCCTCCCCATCGACCGACCCTCGCGCTGCACACTGGCCAGCCCCTCTGATAGGCCGCTGACGCTGACAGGTGTTCGTAGACGGGATACCCCACTATCGAACGCTGCCATTCTGCCCCGCCCCACAGCTGGTACAGGCGCGTGCCATGGCTGGGTAGGGGCGAAGCGAAAAGGGCGGTATATGGGTGGACGAGGGATGGTCGAGGCAGTGCGGGGTCGATTGGAGAGGGGACAGAGCGTCCTGCTGCTATTCCGTCAGAGGACAGACGTAATCAATAGACGGTCATATCACATATGAATTCCGTGAGATTTAGTGCAGGTCACAGTGTCACCGGCGTTTAAATATTAAATTTTACCATCATGTGGCATGCACAATGCACATGTGACTTCACTCAACCATTTACTAACAGTTTACTTTGCAGCGCTGGCATGATTGTTCACATGACTTTTTGAGCAGCGGTTCGATTGAAAGCGGCATCGAGCGTGTGAACGGTATCCGGATGACATGACGCTGACCCCGTGACCCCGTCCCAATTACCTCATCACGATGTCGCGATCGGAGCAGTGCTGGTTGGACCGGATCGGCGCCGGCCTCTGCAGGAAGTGAGGTTAACACTGACACTGAGAATGACACCAGTGCTATTCGTGGCTCTCTGACAGACCCGGGAGGCTTACACTGTCACTGTCTGGGCAGCGCCTTAGCTTGAGGCAAGGCATCGTGATATGCTCTGTTCACGACTCACTTGACACGTGAGTACCGAACACTTTCACCACTGCCCGGAAGGCGCATTGCACACTTCTCGTGACCCGTGAGCAGCGATCTGACAGCAGGGCGCCTAGCAGTCTGTGCGGCTCGCCTAGCAGTCTGTGCGGCGCCGGGCAGTCTCAGCGGCGCCCGGCAGTCTACTCAGCACACCTCTGGCGTCTTCGGTTGCCTCCGCTGTGCCGTCTGCAGAGCTCCGCCTCCTTCCACAGTAAAGTGGGTCGGTCAATGGAGGTCCTTCGTCACTATGTAATCCTCCACGAGTGGTCCTCCAATTCCATGTAAGAAATCCTCCATTAGGGGTCCCGTCAGCAGCCCTTCGTCAAAGGCCCGCCTTTGTCACCAATCCTCCGCCCAGCAGTCCTCGCTTAGTATTCACTCGTCAGCGGTCCTCCATTGGCTTGTCAGTCCTCCGATCACTAGTATCCGCCAATAGACCGATCGGTAACTCACACAGCAACACCAGCCGTGGCGCTAGGCTCCGCAGCCAGCCGATGACTGTCGTCAGGGCAGTCGCGGTGTGCCGCCTGCCTGCCTGCAGCGCCCCAGCTCGGCTGGGTCCCCGTGTCACAGGGCTCGGCTCAGCTCGGCTCGGTCCCCAGCTCACAGGCTGTCGCCATGCGCCGACTGCCGTCCCAGCCGGCTGGCCTAGTGCCCCAGCTCACAGGGTAGAACGAGGCACCGGTCCCCACACCGGCACTTGTATTACGTAGTAATGTCTGTAATGCATGCATGTGTTCACATTCATGAGCGAGCCACAGGTGGGGTGTTGATGACCGCTCCGATTATTGGTCGAGGTCGCCGAATGTCGAAAGGTGAGGCCATAGTAGCCGTAGCAACAGAAGCAGCAGCGGCAGCGGTACCCGAGAGCAGTGTTCACTGGTCAGCGGGAGTGTCGGACATCGGTGACCGATCAGTTCGCTATTCCGTCGCCGCCCAGCACCCAGAGGTCAAGGCGTCTGCCCTGGTAACACAATGTTGCACGGTGTGTTTCTATCACTGAGCCGGTAGCTGACGTACGTTTTTAGTGATAGGAGGAAAAGTGGGCTA